TGTTTCTGATTAACTTAATCAGAAGTAACTCAAGTTTTACTGAATCCTGTACAACATGGTGTTGCAGGTGTCTGCTTTTTGATAGAGGAAACAGATCTTGTTCTAAACTAGCTCTAAGTCTTTTCATACTACTGTGAAAACTAGAAAAATGGGATGTGGTTAACTTGAATACTAGAGTCTAACTTTTTAGTGAAAAAAAAAACAAAACACAGTAACTGGCATTACACTGAGTTTCATGCAACAAAATAAAGGGCTTACACATATGTGGCTCTTTCCAACCGGTGGTTCAAATTTAGTCTTGGAACAACCAAGAAAGGAGTTATCTAGTCTCATAATTAGAAACACCTTGTATGAGACAAATGCTTGCGCATGTGATTTCTCACTTCTTTTCACAATGTGTAATCTTCTTTGCCTGTGCCAAAATAAGTACAGATATTTGGCAAAGCAGAATTCTTCAGTGCCCTACCAGTAGCAATTTACACCTGCGTTGAACTTGCCTTACCCAGCTGCACCCAGCACTACAATGTGCAAATGGAAAACGTGATCACTCCTGCTTGGGATACAGGAGAGCTCTGCACTGATAAATGTGTGGATTTACAGGAGAGATTACACTGGCTAGAAACAGAAATAAAATTTATCAAAGCACTTTTTAACTCCTAAGGTAAATTAATATTCCCTAATGAAGTGTCTAGGGAGAACATCTTACTGTTGATTAAAGCAATAAGGTCCTTCAGTTGTTTGTAGTTAAATGGTTATTAGAAGAGTATTTTACTATTTAATTATCAAATCACTTGTGGTTTACAGTAATTAATTGTTCTTGGGGGGAGGGGTGTATACACATGCATTTATACGTATGAAAAAAACAACTGAAATATCTAGGATGCTTGTTTAGGTTTTTTCAAGTTCATCACATTTCTCACAGGAATAATGTTGCCTCTTCATAGAGTACTACATGAAATACCTGTTACAGTCAGAATAAGTTCTAGATCATACCTTATCAAATCAAATCTGTACCAGAACGGTTCTGAAAGAGGCAAATAATCTCAAAATATAGGAACAGTGCAGATTTATTATTTTTTTTTAAGAATATATGAACACTAGTGAGTCAGAGTGGAACTCTGAAATTCTCACAGTGGTACTCTAGAAACAGTAGTTCAGATGTGCAGCATCAGTTTAGATTGTATGCTGTGTTTCAACTTGCATGCCTTGATACCGGGGTCTTGAACCATCTTTGTTTTCTCGAATTTCAATGTAGATAACACCTAAATAAGTGATAGTAGAGGTATCCTATCCTGGTAATTATTCTGTTGCTACTGTAATAGACTTTTGTAGTCAGAGAAAAATATGTCAAAAATCCTGCTGAACAGAATTTTAATTAAAATTTGTCTCTATTGAAAAGTGCAGAAATGCCTTAATGGGTTGTATATTTAACACTGGAGTAGAGGAATTCCAGGTTGAGATTGGTGCATCAAAACACCTCGTATCTGATAGCTCTAAGTTTGCAGACATGTCTGATAGTTACTGACTGGGAAATGGGTAGTGGAAAGATGGTTTAGTGCCTGGGTCTGTGCTGTGTGACCCACTGTAAACATTAATTTGAAACACTTTCCATCTGTACAGGACTGTTACTTCATAGCAACCCATGGTCACCTAGGAATGTTTTCTTAGTGCTGATGTCCCTTTCTGTATCTGAGAAGACTTTGCACCAGCAAAAGTCTTTAATGTTGTCAGACATCCTTTCGGTTCAACCCCTGAGGTGTAGATCTGCAAATCCTACGGTGTCTGCAAGGTGTGGTGCCCAGGATGCTCCTTCTGGAGCCATATATGTCTTGAAGTGTTTATAATACAGGGAAAGCTACACTTTCCCTTCTTCCCTACACACTTAGCCAATCCTTCCCCATATGCTTTAACAGTAGTGTTAGAAAAAACAGCTCAGTTACATGGCACCCTGATGTGACTGCGTGTTGCTTTCTCACACAGTTGGAAAGCCGGAGAAACTAATGAGCGGAGGAAAAATTATGAAGGACAAGGAAAGAGGAAAAGCTGTAAATAATTAAAAGAAACGGAGAGGTAAAAAACAAAACACACAAAAGGAAATAGAAAAATGAGATGGGTAAAGTCACCACACAAAATGTACCGCTGGGTGTTAGCTTCGTAGTTCAGCACTGGTAAAGAAGTACCTTAATTTCCCCACTTCCAGTGTTTTGATGCTTTTGGCTGTGGACTACTAGCTAATGCTGACAGTTGTGTTTTAAGAAGACTTGAATGAAGACAGAGGCCACTCTGGGGAAATTTTCTTGTTCCGTGATGACACTTGAGGGAAAAATGGAGGGAGTACTTTCAAATAGATTTCATCTGTCGCAATACGAGCCTTAAATACAGAAACAGTCTGTAGTTAGGAAGGAATTGAGATGCCAAGGTAGTGTTTGCTTATATATTTGTACATAATTAAATTTGGTTTATGCACTTGCACAGCAGGGAGAGAGATTAAGTGGAGAAATTGGTGCAAATGTAGTTGTGTCTGCTGGGCACAAGGGCCTCGAGCAGTTTCAGTATTAATCAAAGGTGTTTTAGGTGCTACTGAAGAGGTTTCTGACCTATTAAGGGGAATTACAACGAAGGTTGCAAGCCAGGTTCCAGACTTGGTCCACAAGCATGACGTTTGGGGTGGATACACATTTTTCTGGAGACGGGGAAGACAAGGGTGGAGGGTTGTTCCCTCTGTAAAAAGAGCAGGTGGAACGTATGGAGCTCTTGGGTGAATAACAGCCTGGTTGAGAACAGTAAGGATCAAAGGAGAGGCTACTGAGGGTGACATGTTGGTGAATTACAGACCAGCTATTCATGATGAAGGTTGATTAAATTAGCAACTTGGTGACACCTGTGGGCCCCAGATCCTCATTCCTGGAGAGGAGTTAGTCTCCCTGACAGCTGAAATGATAACATGGTGAGATGCAAGCAATCCATCACATTTCAGGAAGCTTTCTTGGTATGTGTACCGAATGGGCCAGCCAGGGGTGTTGCACAAATGGTTGTCCATTACCAGGGAAGAATTGTTTAGGAATGTGATAATAGCAACCCTGGTTGTAGTCGTGATCGTACAGTGGAGCTCAAGATCCTGAATGGAGTGAGGAGGGCAAGTCCTAAAACTTCAGAGAGCTTATTTGGGGAACTGGTAAATGGGACGCCATGGGAGGCAGCTCTGAAAGCTGAAGGGAGCATAGGAAAGCTGACATTTTTAAGGAGAACCTTTTTCCTATGCAAGAGTGGTACAAGGAAAACAAGTTGATGAACTGGGACGCTAGCTAGGCTGAACAGGGAATACCTGACTGAACTTCCTTGGAAAACTCACGGTGGAAGCAAGAACAGATTATGGCGAAGGAGTTATTAGAAATGCTGCTAGGGCGTGTAGGGTTGGTGTTGATGCACACAAGGGCTTGTGGAATCTCATGTTGCTCTCAAAAATGATGTTAACAGTAAGAGGCTGAACAAGGAACGTGTAGGCCTGTTGTTGAATGTAAGCAGAAACAAGGCCGGTGTACTCAGAGCTGCCTTTCCCTCAGTCTTCCTGGCCTGTGTGCTTGCAGGCAAGGTTTCAGTAGGTGAAGAACTACCAGCAATGGATGAGGGAGGATCAAGACAGGGATTCCTTCTGAGAACTTGACCTGTACAAACCTGAGACCAGCTGGACTGTAAGGTTGCTGGGAAGAGCTGTCTGACCCTTTGAGAGCAGTTCCTCTCTGTACTTTTCAGAGTGGGGTGAGGAGGGTTCACAGACTACTAAAGCAAGGCAAATGTTGAACCCATTTTCAGAAGAGGCCAGAAAGACAATTTGGGGAACCATGAAGAAATCAGTCCCTAGGAGAATCATTGAGTCCCCTTGAAACAGACTTGCTTTTGTGTATTTCCTCTGTCTAGAAAAGTTGCCATCATGCCTCACCAAATAACTTCTATGATAAAGCAGCTGCATTGGTAGGCATGAGGATGGTAGTAGATGCCATGGCAACTTTAGTAAGGTGCTTGGCACCGGCTCCTGTGCTATTTTTGTACGTGTTTAGGATTCTGTAGTCTGGGTGGGTGGACAGCTAGATGGTTAAAAAGCTCAATGAGTGGTTGGGCTCAGACACTTGCAGTTTGGTGGGCTGTACTTCGCCGGGAGGGCGGTAGCAAGTAGAGGCTTATTTAACATCTTTTTCAAGGACCTGGAGGAGATGGTAGGACCTACTGTTGCTGTGTCTGTGCATGGCCCCATACTGGGGGTGCAGCTGACAAGCTTCAGGGCTGGGCCGCTGTCCAGAAGGACCCAGGCAGGCTCAAGAACAGGACAGCATGAACTTTCTGAAATTTAACAAGGGCAAACATTCAGCTTCTGGGCAGGGAGGGCACTTTGCACAGGTCTAGATTGGGAACTGCCTGTCTGGCTTGCAGCTCTTGTTGGAAAGGCTGCGGGCATGTTAGCAGGCAGCAAGCTGGCCATAGCCAACAAGGGTAACAACAGCATGCTGGTAGCTTGGAAAAAGTGATTATCCTCTTCTATTGGGCACTTGCTAGGGATCTTCTAGACCACATACGGTGTCCAGGTGTGTCATTCCCCCCTCACAATCTTTTGACAAGAAAGTTGTTGACAAGCTGGGACAAGCTCAGTGGAGGCCCACCAAGGCCAGGGCTGGAGCATGGGGCCCACAAGGAGAAGCTGAGGGAACCGAATTTGCTTGACCTGGAGAAGGGAGGATGAGAGAACTGGCACGTTGAAAGGAGATGTTCGGGCTCTGGGTATAAGGACGCCGGCCCCGCTGCGGTGAGCCCAGGTCTGGCTCGACCCTGTGGGGCTGAAAACACCGAGGCGGGGTCCCGTCCCCCTCCCCGCGCCCCGGCCTGAGGCGGAGGGGAAGGGAGCAGAGCTGCAGCACCGGGGGCCGCGGCGGGCAGTGCGTGAGGGACTTCCCGCCCTGGCCGGCGGGCGGAGCAATCCCCCCTCAGGGCCGCGCAGGCGGCGGGAAGCGCCGCTGCCCTTCTCCCGGCCTCGCCTCGGCTCTCGCTGGGCGCGGGGCTCGGCCCCGCAGCTCGGAGGAAGAGGAAGTGGCCGCGGCCCCAAGCCGGCCGCGCTCGGAGCGGCGCGGAGCGGCGCGGAGCGGAGCGGAGCTACCCGGCCCGGCCCGGCCCCGCGGAGGCGCCTCCCCGCTCCGTGCCGCCGCCCCCGGGCTGCACGGCACAAACTTTCTGCCGGGCAGCGGGGCGGTGTGGCGGCGCGGCGCTGCCCCGGCACCTCCCTGTCGCGGAGCCGAGGGGGGAGCGGCCCCGGAGCGCGGCGCGCGGGCACGGGCGGCAGCCGGAGGAGGAGGAGGAGGAGGAAGAAGAAGCACTGTCAGTGGGGCCGGCCGTCCCCGCCCGCCGGGCATCCTTCAGCACCGCCGGGCTGTGCTTCGCCCGCCGCCTGTCCCAGGTACCGGCGCGCACCCGCCCGGCCCGGTGGGCAAACTTGGCGAGGGGGCGGTCGGGGGGGCTGTTGCTGGGTAGGGTCGGCGCGGCAGAGCCGGGAAGGCGGCTCCAGGGGCTCCGACTCGCCTTGGTCCTCCGGCTCCTGAAGTTCGGAGCGGGGCCCGGGCTGGCCGGCGTGCTCGGCAGCGGAGGGGCTGCTGGCGGCTTGCGCGGAGGGAGGCGCTTCCCCCGCCCTCTCCCCACGGGATGTCGGTTGGGCCAACCGCTTCTCCAGAGGGAGCGGCGGTCCCGGGCGCTTCGGTCCCGCCGTTTGCCGAGGGGCCGGCGCGGAGCCCGCCCGCGCTGGGCGTTAGGCCCGGGCAGGCGGCGGGGCCGGCGGGCGGCCCCGTCCTGTCAGCCGGCGAGGAGCCCCCCCCCCCCCCCCCCGGGCTCGGCCGGGGCGCCGGCGGGGGCCGCAGGCGGCGTTGCCGAGATCCGCTCCCAGGCGGCGCGGTTCTTCGCGTCTGGCCAGCGCCGAGGGGAGGCAGAGCCCGGGAAGGCGGCGAGCTCCGAGGGGAGCCGGGGTGGGTGCCCGCCCGCCCAGCACATGCCGGACACCTGGGAGCGGTGCTACCGCGGCGTGCCATCGTGTGGCTAGCTGGGGGGTTGTGGTTTTACAGTTGCTTTTTTTTTTTTTTTTTTCTCAAAGGCTGGGCTGGATATTGCCTTTTTAAGTCCGCGGTACTGTTTCAGCGCATTCTCATTACAACATAAGGAGAGGTAGCGTGACTGTGGGGCAGCAGCGGCGTCTCGGAGTATGAAATACATCCCTCCTCTCTGGTTTATCTAAAATCTTGTCAGATCAAACTCCTTCTCGCAGCCTGCGTATTTCTGGAGAAGGGGAATGTAGTTGGAGGGACTTTTAGAGCTCTTCTGCGATGCTTCCAACTTGGTCAGATAATTAATGGGGGGACATTTGTTTTGCGTTACGGTTGAGCGTGCTTGGCTCCGGAGCGCTGCCAGCTCGGACCAGGGAACCGGCTGAACCAGGGGCTGCTGTGCGGCGGGACTGGGAGCAGTGCCGGAGTCGTCCTGGGGTCTGGGCAGGGGTGACTTGTGCTACTGCGGTGGTTGGGTGTAAAATAATAAAAACTTAACTATACCTGACAAAGCATTCTGTAACGTTTTCAGCCAAAGTTTGGGAGCTGTGTTATGATTGTATGCCTCTTCTATTTTTATTCTCATTAAAAAAAAACAAATACTTTTTTTTTGTTTTTTTCTTATTTAGGAGGAGAATAACTAACATTGTCAAGACATATCAGATCTCTAGTTTACAAGGAGAAATCTTTTTGGACATCTGCTTTTATGTTTTATTTTTAATGAATCCAAGCCATTTCAGCTTCTGGTATTGAATAACAAGTTACTGGCAATAGCCGTCCTTTTCACAATACTAGTGGTCATATTTTTGTATTTAATTTCTGTTTTTTCTAAGAAAAAAAAAATAAGTCCCAGAATGAAGGGTTATTTTAGGAATCTAACTTAACCTCAAGTTAGTTACATTAGACAAGGGGCTTTCCACAGCTTGAATGCTGGCATTCCCCTGGTTCAAGAGCAAGAATGTAGCACGGAATGAGCATATACCACTGTGACTAAATACCTAGGGGAGTTCTGAGCTGTGATACTGGGAAACACAGATACCATATTGGGTATAATGAAGTGGCCTTAGAATCTGTGGTGAAAAAGCTGAAAAGCTGGAGTCATGGCATCTTGACTAATAAAAATCAGAATTGATGAAGTTTGTATTTAAATAAATAAAAAATAATCACATAACTTTTATTCAATCCACCAGCTTCATACCTGGCTCTAGCGGTCCACTTTACCTTTTACCCCAAATTGGTTAGTCAGGGTTTTACTCCATGTCAAACCAGCAGAAGACAGTAAGCATAGGATTGTCAAGTCTCTCTAGCTTTGTGTTTTACTATGGTTTTTCTTACAGTCATTGAAGCTACTGTGCATACGTTGCAATATGCATCTGTTTTTCATGCTTGTTTTCAGTGGATTCAGAGTGGCATCGCATTAACTTTAAAGGAATGTTGGGTTCGTATCTAACATTCCTATGCATGCTTCTGTAGGGTCTGTTCAGTCTTTAATTTGCTGGACAATAAATGCTAGCTGCTGTAGTTTCTCCTAAAGTTCTCGAGAGGAGTTCTCTAGTTCTTCTCAGCATCTCAGTAGTCTCCTGTCTTCATGTGGAGGTATCTTGCTTGAACACTTGCAGCTGTGGTATTTCAGAAGAAATTTTACCTGTGTTTTATCCAGTGACATTAACACTTGGTTATGTTAACCAGAAATACCCTGCCTAAACGTATGTTGTAGAAATATGTGGTACCATCTGAATCTTTTGCCGTACTGAAAGACAGCATCATGGTATCACTAAGTAATAAAACTTTTGGGTAAGTGTTATGGGGTGATGTGGGTGGGGTAAGAAGCAAGGGTCTCCCACCAGACTACTGTTCCTCAGATTGCTCCCCAACACTAGCACAACGCTTGCCTTACCCCTCTACCAGTTCTGTCTGATCCTGTTTGCTTTTCTTTCTCCCACCCTCCTGCCCACACGAACCAGCTTTGCTTCCCTGGAGAGGGGGTTAAGCGCAGCTGGTGGCAGCCCCTGGTTGAGGTGGCTCGCTGACCTGCAGGCCCAGGTACAGCACAGAGGAAAGTAAGCGTGTGCTATGCAGGGCAGCAGAGTTGAGCCCAAGATGAGTGTTGTGAACACCCTAATGAAAACATGAGCAGCTAGTAGTATTTTGTTGAAATCATGTTATCATGGTGGTGTGTTGACATGCTGCATGCTAGGACTGTGCTTTCTCTGTGACCTGTGATTGAGACCTATCAATATGTTCTAACTTCGCTGAATCCATATTGTATTTATCTGTCTATTATTTTGTTTTATTCTTAAGGCTTTCTAAAGCTTAGCAAACTCTTGAGGCTAGACTAGCAATTGTCTTAATTGCCCAAATTATTTTTCCTCCTTTTTTTTTTTTCTTCTGTGTAGGCAGTACATTTTCTTGTCTCCCGGGGAGATGGCATGAAACTCGGTGCAATAGTTTGCTTTTTACTTCTAGCAATTGGATCTGCAATTCATCATGACAGGTCTTCCAGGGTTCTTGGTATGAATCCAAATTAGTCCTCCTGATTTGTGTTCTGCTTCCGTTTAGTTGTGGTATCTTTGGCCTCTCTAACTGGGCTTGACTTCTGGCACATTTCACTTTATGCTGGTGTTTCTTGATCCGAGACTGTAGTTTCTTCTGCTGAGCTTTTTTCCCCTGTCCTTTGAAAGCTCTCTGCTTATTCTACCTTTCCTTCTTTATTAGGTAATTCATCTCTCCGGGTCTGGAAACCTTCTTATGAATTCTCTCGTCGCTTCCTTGGGTTACAAATTCTGCAGATATTCATATTGTAGTTTAAACATGTTCCAGACCTCCCTTATGCTCACGTCCTCCAACTTTTCATTCATGCTCATCTCACTAATGAGTTCCCTTAGTTTTTGAGATTTGGCTTTTGAAATTGAAAACCTTAATTGCAGATTTATTTGTGTTGCTCTACAGTTTAATTTAAAGAAAGTCAATCGTAAAGAATAAATCTGGGATTATTCTTTCACCAACCTTTCTATGAGTAGAGATTTAGTTATCAGCCACGAGTCTAAAATCCTGATAGTGCTAGTCGAATTGGTAAGTATGCAGTGAAAACATTGATCAGTTGTGACATCTACCAACGGGTAGGACTGATTTATTGTAATTGTTCATTGTATTTTCAAAATAAGTCTTTGAGAATCTTCTAAATTACTTGGTAAACATTAGTTACTTAAACAACTGATCCTTCCCTACAAATAAGAATTATTGTGGTGTTTATTGAATATATGTTTACGTAGTTACCTGTATGGTAATACCCTTCAAAAAGGACCAAGTAGGTATCTCTCAGTACAGAATTTCCCTCCTAATGAGTATGATCTCACAAAAACCCCATACAGTGGTAAGCTGGAGAGGGAAAATGGAGATATGTCAGGAGCATGGCTCTGTTCTGGGAACATATAAAGGATCATCCTAGTACACTATTCTCCTTTCTTTGTTTGCCTGTACACCCAGATTGTCAGGTCTGGTGTTTTTAATCCTCTGCTTTGGTTATGCTTCCCTGCCTGATGTTTTGTTTTTTTGTTTTTTTTTTTTTTTTTTGCCTTGTTATTCCTCTTCTGCTTCATTGCTTTAACTATGCTAGGAAAGGGACTTGGCCGTAATTTGCAAGCTCTCTCAGGGTTTGTTTAGAGCTGAATGGGGGACTAAACACTCTGATGTTTTTTTTAGACTGGGAAGGATGCAAGAATTAAGTGACCACATGCCAGCCGGTGAACTGAGCTGAGCATGAAGTGGTTATTATTTTGAAAATGGAAAGGTCAGGGTTGCAGGAGTGAGGGTTTAAGAAAATAAGTGCATCTCATTACTACACAACAAATGTGAAGTCCTGTAATTATTTATAAAAGCCTTCTAGCATCCCTGTGAGGTAGCTAAGTATTACCCATGGAAGGAAGAACCAGGATGAAAGGACTTAACCAAAATCAAGAGAGAAATCCTATTAGTACATTGCAGTTATCTAGTTTCGCTGCTGCACTCGCCATTAAGAACTGTATTCCATAATTTTGTGAAAGGAACTTTGGCAGTAATTTCCGATACGTATTTTAAAAAATAAATTGATTCATGATAAAGCTTACAAAGTGAGGTCACTAGTTCTGGACAATAAACGTTTAAAATGTGTTGGTGCAAGCAAGCTTGTTCTAACTGCACTCAGAACCAAGCTGACAGTAGCGTAATCAGCCTGTACAGCACGTTTTCTTTGGATGTCATTATAAATATTAAAACTACCTTGTTTCAATTTCAGGTGGTAGTGTATTGCACTTACATGTGTATTAGATGATATCTGAATATTCAGTCTAACGCTCTATGCTTAGCAGTTGACTCCAGTACTATATGT